TTTCCCTACTTTCCATGTTTTTTAGCCCTATCTTGTTCTTCTCTCCCAGAAAAACCGTATCTCACCCCTTGGCTTTGTTACTTCTTAGATTGTTCAACAGCTTGCATAAAGGAAGAAAATAATCCTCATTGATGTTGAAGTACTTAACCAGCTCTTCATGCCATCATCACTAGCTCTTGTTTCCTGTCTGTCTGAGAGAAAATGTCCCACACATCTGCTGCATAAAAATACAGTAAGAAACTTCTCCAAATGATCAGTTAGAACAATACACTGTATTTTAATTCGCATTTAAATAAAGCAATTAACCCTCCCCTCCACTTTAATATTGCTGTGAACATCTCGTATCTCCAGATACATAATTGTGGTTATGGAAATATTACCTCATTTTTTCACTGCCCTATATCATTCATTCCCTTAAAAATAAATCATTTTGTACATTTAAAATTATAATAAACCAAAATGTTTTTATAGAATGACAAAATAATAATAATTTTATTGTGCAACTATTAGCTTTAACTCCTAGTTCTAGAGTCCACATAATTTGTGTTAGATGTCTTATTGGGATGTCTGAAAACCATATAATTTGAAGGTTCTATTATCTCTGATGGGGGGCCATAGCAGACAGTGAACTTCTCTTGAATAGCAATTAGTGATAGCTTGGTCATCTCAGTCACTGTGGCTGTTGAATCTGAATAAGTGAAGAACTTTGTCTCTTTCTTGCCCTTTCCTGTCTGACAGCTCATCACTAGTTACTTGGTGACCTTGACACTGAAATTACTTCATTTCTTTGAGTTTGAAGATCACTTGCCAACTCTGGTGGCAACTATAATGGGTTTCTGACAGTACCTGGCTATCTGTGTCTTCATTTGATACAAAGGATATTTCATTCAATTCAAATAATACTATCTTCTGAAAGCTGTGCTTGTTTTTTATTCTGGGGGTGGAGGTGATCAGTATTCTTGCTTAATTTTGAATTGAGGGATGATTAAGAAGAACCAGAAGATTCCAGTAAAATATTTTCCAATTTTATATATAGCCTTTTCTACTGAACAAGTGGTCTTCTCATTGACTAGCATTTCTCTAACTAGTTATATCCAAGGAGATTTCTTGCCTCGTGGGTACGTAAACTTGTTCCGAGTTTTCTAATTACCTACTCCTTATTTCATGTTTTCCTTAGAAATCCTATATGCACTTTTGTGTGCATTCTTTCAACTAGTGTCGATAAAGCAGTTGTTGCCTTGTTTAGTCCCTGCAAAGTCTGGTAAGTTATCTGAAGATTGAATGAAGATTGCCCATACAACATGGAATGTGGAGAGTAACCAATTTCACTCTTCATACAGTAAAAAACATATGCTACTTGGCTTAAGTGTTTTTTCCAGATGGACTCTTGTTCCTCACTCTATCAATAACATTTTGTTACCTGTCCGATTAGATTTCCTCCTGAGTGGCAAGCTGTGGTATGAGAGTTTTGTAGTCCACAATCGGCATGGTCTCCCATACAATTCATTCTTAAATTATATAACTAGGCAGCTTTTT